TGGGTTTGTAAATATTTGACAAAACATGATTAATGATTTTGCATCAATAAAATTGTTTGCAACCCTATTTTGATCTGATCTTTCTCGCTAAGCAAACTATTTTGTCATCAGTGTCTTTTTTCCAATTAAGACGGGTGACAAAGACAAATGAGGATTTATAAAGTAGAATTATATATTGCTGAACTGAAGAAACTATAACATAAAGTAGACTCAACCATTTCAAACAGAAAAATATGAATCATACTCAATCTTCGCAGCTGGTGATATACTCCAATATTTAAAAAATGAGAAAATGACTGCATGGTTTTCTTAAAAAATATTTTATGCTTAAGTAAATGTAGAAAATTAAATAGATACCTGCTACAAAAATGTATTTATTTAAAAAAAGTACATATTTTGAAAACACGTATTTTGTATTTAGCATTTAAAATACAAAAAGGAAACTAATTTTGAATTTTACGTTTGAAATGACAAATAAACAAGGTATTTGCATTTTGTATTTAAATACTTAAAAAAAAAACATTTTGCACATCTATATCACATACATCTACGTATCTATACATATATTCAACAATTGATCGTCGTGTACTTATAAACCGTCAAAATTCGCAGTTTCTTTATACCTACCCGCTATTTTTACCGAGTTATATAATTTTATTAAATGGCCGATATTTTTTTTACTAATACTTATGCAGTATACATAAAGTTACATGCTATATATATGCATAACAAAAACTTGGGTGCTTATATTAATTAAATAATAGCTTGTTTTTGCCCCACTTATTACTTGGTACGTTAAGCTAATTGATCTTTTATTTTGCTTCTAGACTTACTTACAATACGTTTGTTATGTGCTTAAAACCCAATAAAAACATGCAACTAACAGAATTATTGTTTTTTTTTTCGTATTGAAAATTAGCATTTAAACAGTGGCACAGGTTTGTGCTTTTACTATTTCAGAATTGTAATTACTTTGTAGTTTATTTTAAAGTAACGTTAAATTTCTAAGGAATTTCACGGTCACCAAGTAACATTTACTTACACTCTAACTTTTGCCTTTCTACAGACGGTGGGTATTGTATACGTATTAATAAAAATTCTTTGTGCTATCTTATGTATAATGTGTATGCAATGATAATGTATTTTTTCATAGGCGGCGACATATTGTTTTTAAAAATCGTGCAATTACTAATTAGGTACGTACCTGCTGATAAATGTTGCAATTGAACATTAAAAAAAAAATTCGAATGCTTAATTTTTCTGATTTGTTCGTCTTATCAAGGCGATTATACGTAAAAAATTTTGGCCGATTAGTAATTTTTGAACAATGAAATAGCTACTTCTTTTTTTGTGAAGTAGGCGTACTGATGCTATATAAGTATACATATTTTTTGATTACTTTTATTGCGTTTTCATGTTAAGTTTTAGTATGCTTTAATTTTAAATGTAGAAACACAAATCTTTTTCCTACTGCAATTAATACCGAATTATTCAGTAATTGTAAGTTGACTTATTCAATATTGAATTGGTCATATCTGGTAATTTATTTATGTTTGATAATTAATAATTACTTCGGTGTTTAAATAATAGCGGGATAGACTAGATACAAGAACAGACGAAATATTAAAGCAGGCAGGAGAAACGAATGACAGGGACATAAAGACAGAATCGAACAGATGTATTAGGTCTTAAACAAAACGAAAACAGAAAACCCTGGATAACAAACTAGAAAATACCACAAATGGCGCGGTAAACGCCATCTGTAGTACGATGCTACATTTTAGGATTACGTATGCTCCAACAAGGTCCATTTAAATATATGGATATCTACTTGCTGAAACGAATCCCGGCGTAGCTAACCTCTACGTGATAGCCACGTTACTATAATCGAATAAAATATTCGAAGTGGTCTGTATTCTGTTGAAACTGCCAGACTAAAATGTAGCAATGTACTACAGATGACGTTTACCGCGCCATTTGTAGTATTTTCTAAAACGCGCTGTTAAGACATTAGGTAAAAGTTGGTCTGTGTTTTGTCGAAACCATCCGCGATGCACTGATGAGATCTAAAAAGATCGATCGCGATTCGCGTCTGGCACTTTCAACAGAATACAGACTACTTCGAATGATTTTATTCGTTTAAATAAAAGGACGATTACGTTATGATCATGAATTGAGATTGCGATGTATTCGAAACAAAAATTAAAAAGGTGTGATAGTAAAGCAAAAATTTCCCTTAACTCGAACATAACTGCCCGAATCGGAATTTTAAATTAATTTTAAACCTTTCACTCGTTGAGTGAATAGTTTTAAGATTGAAACGAAATTAATAATATTAAGCTGAAAAATAAAAATTAATAAAGTGCATGCAAAATAATATTCTTTATAAACCTTCAGTTAACGTTTTTTTTTGTTTTGAAGGCATGTAATCGAAAAAGAATTTTCTACAGTTAGAATTTTACAGACTTCTATTCAAGTTAAAACAATTTTTAATATTCTGTTGAAGTTCGGTTTTGGCTTTTAAATTCTGCTGTTAAAATATCTAGAGTAAAAAGAAATAAAAAATTTTACTTTGAATGAATTTTTGATTTAACATTTTCCTGTCTGTAATAAGTGTTCTATTCAGATATGCACTAAATTTCTCTTTTCGAAATATGTTTTTGGTATTGAACTGTTGCTTCTAAAATTCTTCGTAGTTTTTTCGTTAAAAAAGTAACTTTCTATTTGTTTTTTCTTCTGCAAGATCGTCGTTCTTGCGGAATTTCAGGGTCGACAGAGCTATTTCGTTGCGCATAAATATAAGTATACGTAGGAAAAAACCAATACACCGCTTTCAATGCTTCATTTGAAAAATAAACGAAAAAGGCTCTATACTGCTCATGGCAGTTTATAAAGGCTAATGCCTCGGCGAATTGGACAAACAACTTGGACGTTAAACTGTAAAGTAGCAACTTGAAATACTGTTATTACTGATTGTGAGTCAAAGCTTGTGGTTGTTTACACGATTGGGCCATAATTCCGAAAAAGTTGTACAATAAAATATGGGGTGCGCCTTATGAAATAGTTACTAAGTTGAGCAGAAAACTATCAGGGCTGTACTCCGAAATGTAAAATTGATGTCAAAAGTAGGTACAAATACAGACCACCTCGAATTATTTTATTCGATTATGGTACCGTGCCTATCACGTTAAAGTTGGTTACGCCGGGATTCGTTTTCAGCAAGTAGATATCCATACAAGTGGACCTTGTTGGAGCATACTGTCACGCAGTGAAATTTTAATGAAATTCAAAAAACCATTTATTATTTTTAATTATTTTTCGTAGAAATTGTATTTATATCTAAAGCCACACCAGAACATGTTTTATTTGATATTTTTAAAAACACCCTTCAATACAGTGAAATCGCCTTAAAATTAATGAAAGAAAAAATGAGAGGACAAGCAATTTCCACGTTATTACAATAGAAGTAGCGCAACTTACAAACAATAAAATTAATCATATTGTCTTTCAGACACTAATTTAGCCGTTGAAGCATTAAATAAAATAATAAACCTACTGTAATATATTTGCAAAGTCTACACTGAAATGAGGTCGTTTAAAATTTTGGTGTGTACAATTCTTGTGTACAGATTATTTATTGCCACAAGAAATCCATTACTGAATAATATTTTATTTATACTTACACAAAACAAACATTACTTATCTGCTACTTATTCCCCATCTTTCTTGTCCTTTTCTTGCTGGCTTTCAAATTTTTTCTCATCTATTTGAGCTCCTTGAATACTCTCACAATGCTGATGTCCACTGCCGGAACCAATGTCCTCTGCAATATTTCTTTCATTGTCTGTACCTGGTGGTGGCCCATACAAGGGCAGAGGATGCACCTCGCTAATAGTTGAGGCTGGTGGATGTTGTCCATCCATCGGAGCTGAATGCGAATATGGATGTGGTCGCCCCATGTGAGGTGGATACTGTGGGTAGGGCTGATAGTATGGATGAGGAGAATATTGAGGATAACCTTGATGATATCCCTGTTGTTGAGAATAACTGTAGGTATGATGTGGTGGTCTTGGTGGCAACGGAACGGACTGCGGATTATTACTAGGATATTGCTGATATGGCATTATAGTTGGAGATTGATTAGGAGGTGAAGGACCTGTAGAATGCGGCATACTGTGTACAGGAGGTGTCATATGAGAAGGCATATTATGGCCGATTGGAGGAGGCGGCAAAATATTTCCTGAAGTAGGTTGGGTATTTTGAGGCGGAATCCCGCCCGGTCCTGGGTGGTGATGTGCTGTCGGTGTTTGAGCAGCATTGATACTATGTTGTGGTGATTGGGTGTGGGTTGGAAGGGAAGAAGAATGATGAGTTACAGACCCAATGTGAGAAACAGGTTGAGGGGCTTGTTGCTGATGTGGATGAATGATGCAAAACAGAAGGTGGTGGTTGTTCATTACTTTGTACTTGCTGAGATCCTAAAATCCTAAAATGTAGCATCATGCTAAAGATGGCGTTTACTGCGCCATTTGTAGTATTTTCTAAAACGCCCTGTTAAGACAGCAGGTAAAAGTTAAATATGTAACAGATAGCCGACAGACGATAACCGATTATAAAGAGGTGATATTAATAGTGCGAAAATAGTGATAATAATACACAGTGAAATCAATATGTAACCGATTGTTACTTTGTAAAATAAGTTGCTTATGTATTATGTATGTTTAAATAACTACTTAAAGAAAATCTAGAAAATTCGTTTAATAAGATTACACGCCTCAGCAGCCGTCATGTATTCTCATTCCATAACATAACAGCAATGATGATCTCACGATTTTCACCTGCTTCTGCCCCTATTATTATGCTTTTGCTTTATTCGTTACTTTTATTACTTTTCTATTTAACTTTCGCATCTTCTTTCGATATNAATTTAATATAAACATCGAGGGCTAGAATTGTTGTACAATAAGAAAACTTCCTCAGCTGATTAAACGTCACTTAAACGTCAAAACGTGTAAACGTCAAGTTCGGTATTTCAACTTGGTGCAAGAAATAAAATAAAAATAGAAAGTTGAATGTGGGATAGGTATATAACCTTTGTATTAATATTATTTCCTCAGTTTGTCACTGACAGTTGTGGTGTTGTGTTGCTTATAGTGATTATTTCGATTGAACCATGTGCGGTGAGTTCATTTCAAAAACATTTAATTGTAATAAAACAGATTATTTATGCCGTAATATTGAATAAAACTTTTATTTAATATTGAATTATTTACTGTCAGCTGTCTAAATTTCGACCTGATTTTATTTATTTATGTGATTACTTTAGTATTAACTAAACCATATTGATACTATAGAAAAGTTCTTATTAGTTTCAGTTGAAAAGTATTATTCGACTTTTTGACAATGAGATTATCAAAATTAAATTTAGTACTATTATAATTTGGTAATTATTAAAAGCAATTTCCAAGTTTCTGTGAGTAACATTTGTTTACAATTGTAAATGCGCAAATTTAAATTTTTTATGGTATACTGTAAAGTTATAAAGTTATTTCGTAATGATATATTATTGAACAGTTATTTTGTAGGTACCTATTAATTAACTGTGTTTTAAAATAGGTACCTACCCTGCGAAATGTAACTTAGGTACATAATTCTTCTAATTGTTATAATTAAGTAAGTATAGGTAACTGTTTTTGCTTCTAGAAATTCATATTATTTGCGAAATTAAATAAATAACAATTACAATTTCCGCTGTTAATTTTAATACAAGCTTAATAATCGTTTATGGCATTTCAAAAGAAATAAAATATCTTAAAGAAATTTTTTGGTATGTTATGGAGTTCCGAAAAGGGACATCCCCGATTGACTTAAAATTTTTACCACACACTCCTTTATGATGATTCCTAAAGAAATTCTTTTTTCATGATGGTATCTTAAAAATACATTTCTGAACCCGATAGTGTTATTTGGGAGATTTGTACCCATTTTTTTAAATAAAATGGGGGAATTTGAAACTGTTAGTAAACCTAGCCTAACCTTACATGAGTTTAGTTAATTTGTATTGTGTTATGTTAGGTAGGGTAAGAGGCTAAATTTTTAAAAAAATTACCCACGTACTTAATGGATTTGGTTTACTCTTTCTGAAGATGGTATTATATGGTGAAGCAATTGTAAAATATCTAAAATAAACAATGGAAATTAGCGAGTTATTATATTATTTTATTTCATAATTGTTATAATTACCTAAAATTTATTCTAGTTAATACCTAAAAGCTTCATTAATCTTTAGTAGAATTCTTTTATAGCCATGTGATACGATTTTTTTCTACGAAATAGATAAACGTCTGAAAACCCTTCAGGTTGTAATATTTTCGTAAATATTTCGTAATAATAATAATAATAAATATTTTGTTATT